TGCGCTTCTGGGAACGAGGCTCTTGCCCTCGCAGGGCCCATGAATCCACCCGCCTCCAAGCATCAGGCCCCAGGCCAGCAGGCTGAATACAGCCGCCCTTCCCCTGCAAGGCCCCTCGCAGGAGGGACACGCTTCAGAAGAGCACAGTGGGCGGGGCCACGCTGAGCGCCCGCCCCCCCGGGTGTCAGGGCCAGGGAGTGGAAGATACCTGGTCATGCAGAGGGGTCCCACAGGTGCTGCACCCCAGGTCCGCTGGCTCCGCGCTGGCAGGGGCAGAAGTGCTGCTCAGGGCTTTCGACTTTGCACAGAGTTCTGGGTACTCGGAATAAAACCTCTCGTAGCCGCCTGCAATGGAAGAGACCGGCATGAGGGGTCGGGGGACTGCCATGGCATTGGACGGGGCTGCAGGCCCTGCTCCCAGCAGCCCCTCTGTCCCACCCTTGCCACTAGCCCTCACTCCTGCCAAGTGGGTGCCAGGCATTTTTGGGCGCATGGGACCATGGCAGGGCAATTGGTCAGCAGTTTACACCCATGGGGGGGGGGGAGCCCTCTGCCCATGCGGCAGGGCAGTTTCCCTTCAAAGGCCCTGGACTCCAGCAACTGAAAAGCCAGCTGAGCAGCCGAGGGCTGGCTCAAGTGGGAATGAGGAGCAGAACACCAGGGCAGTGCCGCTTCCCAAATTAAACTGGTGGGGCCATGAGCAGGCAGCTTCGGTGTCACTGTCAAAGGGTGGCATTTGCAGCGGCCGAGTCCCTTTCCAAGCCAGGCTGGCTGCTCTGCCATTTCCGCTCCAGTTCCTTCCTCAGAAACAGGAGTTTCCACCCTGCAGTTACAAGCTCCTTGCCTTCCGCCCTCGCGCTCCAAGCCCCAGATACCTCTTGACAGTCCAAAAGCTCAAGGCCAGCTCTGAGTTGTGTGTGAGAGGAGGGGGAAGCAGGCGTGTACTTTGCATCTCATGCAAGTATTTGCACATTTGTGGAGCACCTGCCACATCCACCGAGTGCATCCCTCCCACTCCGCCCCACGTCCGGTTTTGCCACCACTGCAGGCTGGCTTTGGGCAGGGAATCGGACACTCAGCAATACGCTCTGGATCCGTGCTACCCTTTCACCGCACCGCAGGGCTCTGCTCAAAGGAGCTTTAAACATTTCAAAACCTCTTGGCCCCGTTCTGCCAAGCGCTGCAGCTTATGGGATCAGAAAATGCTTATTCCCTGGAGTAAAGGGTCGCAGTATCGCGCCTGCATATCCTTATTAATAAAGAAAAGCCACAAACAGATCTGATCATGCTGTGGGAACAGCGCGTTGGTTTTCTGACTGTCCCTGGGATATGCAAGCACAGCTGGCTTCCGTTTTCCTACCAGCAGACAAAACAAAGCTGCTATTGATTGGCTCTAGTGCAGGGAATCTCAAATGTCATGTGGGCTGTTTACCTCCATGGACTTTTTCTCTCTCTCTTTGAAATGCTAGTGACCTTCGAGTCCTTGTAAGTGCTGACCTCTGTTTAAAAATCCATATTGTGCCTGTAATTTAGAAGCACAGCTGGCTTCCGTTTTCCTACCAGCAGACAAAACAAAGCTGCTATTGATTGGCTCTAGTGCAGGGAATCTCAAATGTCATGTGGGCTGTTTACCTCCATGGACTTTTTCTCTCTCTCTTTGAAATGCTAGTGACCTTCGAGTCCTTGTAAGTGCTGACCTCTGTTTAAAAATCCATATTGTGCCTGTAATTTAG